CCGGACGAGTGGCCACAAAGTCTTTCAATTTCTGTTTGCTATGAAAGGTCTTTATTTCACCTTCATTCACAAATGAGAGCTTGGCAGGATATAATATTCTGGCTGGCAATTTTTCTCTCTTAGCACCTGTGCTATGTCTCGCCATTCCCTCCTAGCTTGTAGGGTTTCTGATGAGAAGTCAGCTGTGAGTCTGATTGGAGATCCTCTGAGAGTAATCTGACGTTTCTCTCTTGCACATTTTAGGATCTTTCTTTGTTTCACACTGTGGTAAGTTTAATTACCACGTGTCGTGGTGAGGATCTCTTTTTGGTCATGTTTATTGGGGGTTCTATGAGCTTCCTGTACTAGGATATCTCTGTCCTTCTCCAAACCTGGAAAGTTCTCTGCAGTATCTCACTAAAAAGGCCTTCCAATCCTTTCCTCCTCTCCATGCCTTCAGGAACTCCTAGAACTCGAATGTTGGTTTTTTTAATAGTATCCTGTAGATTCCCAACAATATTTTTCAGGTTTCTAATTTCCTCTTCTTTTCTTTGGTTTGACTGTATGTTTTCCTGTGCTCTATCTTCTAAGTCCGATATTCTCTCTTCTGCTTCACCCATTCTGTTTTTAAGGCTTTCTAATGTGTTGTCATTTGATCTATTGAGCTCTTCATTTCATTTTGATTTCTCTTGACTATTACACTTTCCTGTTCTACTAATTTCTGAGTTTCATTTTGACTCTTCCTTAAATTTCATTTTCACGAGAAAGATTTTCAATCTTGTCCATTAAGGATTTCTGTAGTTCAAGGATTTGCTTTTGAAAACTTCTAAATGTTCTTATCATAAATTTTTTGAAATCCGTATCTTGCATTTCTTCTATCTCATCATCTTCATACTCTTGACTTGGGGTGTTTTGCTTATTTGGAGGCATCATAGTGTCATCGTTGATCTTGCTCCCTCTATTTCTGTGTTTGTTACTCGGCATAGTTAATTCTTCTTGCGTCACTGTGCGCTTTTTTTTTTTTTTTTTATACTGTGTCCTTGTTAAGTGGACTGCCTGCTGTTGGAGGAGCCTTTAGGCTTGAGATGGGTGCGGCCTGAGAGCTCTGCCTGGTTCTTCCTGGTTAAGGGTGTGCAAAGGTGACACCCTCAGGTTATGCGTGGTAAATCTCTCTCTTTTTATTTATTTATTTATTTTATTCAGGGGGTAAGTAACACTGCAGGGCAGGGCTGTGCAGAATTGATGGTATTTAGCTTCCAGTCTTTGGCTCCTCTGGACTCCCACTGGGTTGCCTAGGCTACTGAATTGTAGTGACTCAGTTCCTTAACTCTCCCCCACTGATATGTAAATCCAAAGGCCTGCTCTTTGTCTCTTGGGAATTCTTCAAGTCTTGCAGCCTTGTAACCTTTGCAAGGTTAGGGGAAGAGAAACCCGAAGCTTTTTTTTTCCTTCTTTCCGGTAGTGAGTTTGCTGCACTTTCCGGCCCCCCTCTAGATTCTGACCCCCGTTTCCCACCAATGTCTCGGGTTATTGAGCTCACCTCCCCTTCCAGCGCCGATGTGTGGACTCGGAGCCCTGAGCGTTCAAGTCTCCCCTCTGTTTCTGTGTGGCGTGCACTCTCCTTGGAGCACTGTCGCGCAGACCCTGGGGCTTCTTGTAATTGTTATTTACAGATAAAATCTCTGGCTATGTAAAAGCCAAGAAAATCAACAGAAAAATGTTTATAATTTGCCAAAATAATCTATTGAAATGTATAACTTTCCCTATACTAAAGTTACAAAGAAAACAAAATGTAAAATCTCAGCTGTAATTAAAGGTAGAAAGTAATAAAATGCTTGGCTCATCTGAAAATGTGGCAAAGATCTCAATGAACAGTTACACTGATCTCATAGATCCTTTAACAACATGCTTTAAGGCGGGCATTTGACTGAGTGGTTCAGGCTGCCAGTTAAGACGCCCATGTTTCATGTTGGAATATCTGGATCAGTGCCTGGTGACAGCTCCAGCTCTCTGTTAATATGCACTTTGGGAGACGGTAGGTGATACTCGAGTACTTTGGTCCCTGCCACCTATGTGGGGCCTGGATCACCTTCCTGCTTCCCAGCCCTGATGGTTATTGGCATTTGGGACACAAACCAGCAGATGGGAGCTCTCTGTCTCTCCATTTCTCTGTCTCTCAAATAAATAAATAAAATTTAAAACATAACAATTGCAAGAGAAAGTGATTATTAAAAAGGAAAACTTTACATACATTTCAAGACTGTTTTGCACCACAATAAGCTTATCTTTTAATTGCATTTTCCCTGAATTCTTTGAAGTTTCTCATAGTTAAAATTGTATGCACTTTCTAGTAAATGTTCCAAAAAGGGAGGTTGGGTACCTCTTACCAGCTGTGCATTGGCTAGAACAAATAGGAAATTTCTGCTGGCCACTATCACTTTAAGGGGCAGGGCTAGAATCATCTAGAAATCCAGCCTCAGGCTGCTGGAAGCCTTGTTAGAGTCTGGTCATGTCTCTTAGTGTGGGATTCGGATGGAGCTGTCCTGTGCCCAGAGTTCTGCAGCATTGGGAGAGAGGAGCTGGCAGGCTGCAAATATAAAGAAAAGGTAAGGAGGGGTCACTGCTGTGGCATAGTGGGTAAACGCTCCCGGCAATGCTGGCGTCCCATGTGTGCACTAGTTTGTGTCCCAGCTGCTCCACTACCATCTAGCTCCCTGCTAAAGGTGTTGGGAAAACAGTGGAAGATTGCCCAAGTGCTTTAGGCCCTGCAACCCACATGGAAGACCTGATGAAGCTCCTGGCTCCTGGCTTTCACCTGGCTCAGCCTTGGCCATTGCAGCCATTTAGGGAGTGAACCAGTGGATGGAGAGAATCTCTCTCCCTCTGTATTCTGACTTCCAAATAAAGAAATCTTTTTTTTTTAAAGGTAAGGAAATGGAAAGGCTAATTACCTCATTGATCTGCTTACATGTGATGAAACAGTATACTGTACCCCAGAGAAACGAACAAGTCTTATATGTTCTTCTAAATTTTTTTTTCTTTAGTATTTGAAGTTCTCAGTAGAAATGCGTGATGACCAAGGATTAGTTTCTTAAAGCTGCTCTAATGAAGTGGTACAAACCAGGTAGCTTACATGGCAGAAATGAATTGTCTCAGCTGGCACCGTGGCTCACTAGGCTAATCCTCCGTCTGCGGTACTGGCACCCCAGGTTCTAGTCCCGGTTGGGGCGCCAGATTCTGTCCCGGTTGCTCCTCTTCCAGTCCAGCTCTCTGCTGTGGCCTGGGATGCAGTGGAGGATGGCCCAGGTGCTTGAGCCCTGCACCCGCATGGGAGACCAGGAGAAGCACCTGGCTCCTGCTTCGGATAGGCGCAGTGTGCTGGTCATAGCAGCCATTTGGTTTCTCTCTGTCTCTCTTTCACTGTCGAACTCTGCCTGTCACAAAAAAAAAAAAAAAAAAAAAAAAAAAAAAAAAAGAAATGCATTGTCTCGCAGCCCTGGAGATGCAGAAGCATGGCAGAGGTGTCCTTGCTGAGGGCCTCGAGGGAGACTCTGGTCCAGACCTCTCTTCTAGCTTCTGGTGTTGCTGTTGATTTTTGGTGCTCCTTGACTTGTAGAAGCAGCCTTCGGGTCTCTGCCTTTGTGTACACATGGTGTGTGTGTACCTGTGTGCAGACTTCTGCCCCCCCCTTTAAAGATTTATTTATTTGAAAAGCAGACAGCGAGCAGAGAGATCTTCATCCATTGGTTCCCTCCCCAAATGGCCGCAACAGCTGGAGCTTGGCCATTCTGAAGCCAGGAGCTGGGACTGGAACCAGCACTCATGTGGGCTGTCAGCGCTGCAGGTGGCAGCTTCACCTGCTACGCCACAGCACTGGACTCACCCCCTCATTTTTTTTTTTTTTTTTTTGGACAGGCAGAGCTAGACAGAGAGAGAGAGAAAGGTCTTCCTTTTTCCGTTTGTTCACTCCCCAAATGGCTGCTACGGCGGCGTGCTGCGCTGATCTGAAGATCTGAAGCCAGGACCAGGTGCTTCCTCCTGTCTCCCATGCGGGTGCAGGGGCCCAAGCACTTGGGCCATCTTCCACTGCCCTCCGGGCCACAGCAGAGAGCTGGACTGGAGAGGAGCAACCGGACAGAATCTGGTGCCCAAACCGGTTCTAGAACACCGTGTGCTGCGCCGCAGATGGAGGAGTAGCCTAGTGAGCCACGGCGCTGGCTCACCCCCTCCTTTAAAAAAAATTATTTACTTATTTGAAAGGCAGAGTTACACACAAACCACACCACACACACACACAAACACAAACCAACCAACATTGCTGCTTGGCTTCCCAAATAGCTGCAGCAGCTAGGGCTGCCCCAGGCAAAAGCCAGGAGCCTGGAACTCTATCCAGATCTTGCAGGTGGGTACAGGGGTCCAAGAGACATCTTCCACTGCCTTCCCTGGCACATTAACAGGGGCCTGGATTGAAGTGGAGCAGCTGGGACATGAGCTGGTGCCCACATGGGATGCCAGCATTGCAGGTGGTGGCTTTATCTGCTTGCAATGCTGACCGCTAAATTCATCATTTTAAATGAAGTCTGTGACGTGGGGAAAATCGACCAAATACAATGCTGAGTATGAACATTCTGTTGTGAAGCTGCATACTGCACCCTAGTTAGAAGGTGATTCTAATCACCAAAATCTTTATAACCTATATCCCTGAATGGTAGGATTACACATTAGTTTTTTACTTCAGTTTATGTATTTGTGTGTCCATGAGTAAAAGAGTTTATATTTAGAAGTACATTTCCATCTATATTTTTAAAATATACATTTTAAATATGCATTTATTTCATATACTTGCAAAGCAGAGAGCAAGTGGAGGGGGGAAAGAGAGCGAGTGCACACGCGAATGAAAATTCTTCCATTTGCTGGTTCATTCTCCAAATGCCCATAGCAATAGGGGCTGGACCAAGAGCCTCAATCCCAGTCTCTCGCATAGCTGGCAGAGGTCCAAGTACTTGTGCCATCATCGGCTGCCTCCCAGGATGCACTGGCAGGCAGCTGATATGGGATGAGGATATCCCAGGCAGCAGCTTAATTGCTGTCCCTAAGAAGATTTTGGCCCCGTGTCTCCCAGACCTTGGCCATGCTCTGCTCCTGGTTTGAGCGGTCAGGCCCATCTGACTCCTTGTTCACAGGTGTTCCTCCGCCATCTTCCAGAGGACTTCGCTGCTGCAGTGAAGGAGTACAATGCCAGGATTCGGAAGAGCTTTGGTTCCTTCCTCCTGACCGTTTCTAAGCTGGCTGATGGGAGCCAGGAATACCGACTCCCTCTTTCAGAAATAGGTAAGAGGAACAGAAGGCCCATAAAGTAAAACATATCTAACTATGCTGAGATAAAACGGAAGTTTGGAAGATAAAGACGTAACTATTGCAAGAGAATATACAAAAAAAAACCCAAACCCCCTAAAAGTCCTTCAGTTTATGCTGTGGAAATTTTACCCTGATAAAAATCTTTTATTGTCTGGAATTAGGTAAGTCACTGTAGATTTCATTTGACACTAAATGCTTAAAATAGTTCTATTTTCTTCTGGCACAATCATGAAGAAGCACCCCCTTGCCTAGTCTGAATTTATTATAGAATATTTCTTTACCTATTGATATTATTTGTCCTTTAGTGGATATTGACACTCTCCACTTAGTTCAACTTTTCAATGTGAATAGCTTTGAAACTATGAGAAGAGGCATGCTGGCATATTTCTTTAGGACCATCAGTGCATTGTGACTCCCTCAGTACAAAGTGGGCGGTGAGGGAGATAAGGCATCGCCCATCTGATTCAGGAAGGGACAAAACTGCACGAGAAAGAAAATGACAAAAATATAAAGAAAAATAATGAATCTATGACAAATAAAGGTTCTGGAAGCAGGTCATGCACTCAGTGTCCTTAGCAGGGAGACAGAGAGAGCTAAGAAGATGTGGGAATGTGGCAGGATTCTGTTTTCATCCACTTCCCGTAGAAACAAGGAGAAAACCGTGGTTCTGGTGGGCTGCTTTGACTTCTTCCTGTTTCAGGATCCATGATTATATTGGAGTATGGAAGGCGTGTGAGGGACAAGGCAAAATGTTGGCCTTTTCAGCCAGGGAGTGAGAAGTTCACCAGTCATGGGTCAGTTTCATGGGAAAGAACCCAGTGTCTCCGAGCCATGGTTGTCATCCAGAATTGGAGGGGTGTGGTGGGGCGGTGATCTCCTTTTCCTCTGGGGTGACTTCTGGGGTTGGTAGGGTGAGTCCCTCCCCTGCCTCCATGGATGTCCGGATCCTCATCTGAGGAGCCTGAATGTTTTGTGGCAAAGGGAGGATGAAGCCTGCAGATCGAATCACATCTTCTGATCTGTTGCTCTTGGCTTGGGGAGACACGCAGACTGGGTGGACCTGATCAAGTTGAAGAGGGAGGCAGGAGCATCAGAGTGAGAGGACATGGCATGGGAAGAGTTAACCGACCAGCTGGCTCTGAAGGTGGGAGGAACCAGAGAGGCAGCTTCTAGGAGCCCTCCCAGGACGCCCAAAAAGAACAAGCAGAGAGCCCTGCTTATGACTTGCTTTAGCCCAATGACACCAATTTCTGCCTTCTGACAGATTTGGCTTATGTTACACCACAAAGGTGGTGTCCGTTTCTTACATCAGCATTAGGAAACTAATAGAACTTCCAAGAAGAGCCATGTGAACAAAAGATGACAAGTAACAGGCAGCATGTTTTTGCTGTTGTTGAGGTGAAATTCATGTGGCATACATTAACTTCTTTAAGATGTACAAGCCAGAGGCATTTGATACAGTCAGATTGTGCAACCCCTCCCTCAGGTTGCTGTGTGTGGCTATGGGATTGGCTTGGTCCAGCTTCTTGCCCCATCACAGGAAGGAATTCAAGGAAGAGACGTAGGTAGAGGCTAACAGACAAGCAAGATTTATTTACGTGAGAAGTGAAAGTATACAGGAAGGAGTGCAGGCAAAGCCAGGAGAGAGAGTTGCAATCAACATGGCTTGGGGGCTGTCTTTTTATACCATTTGGAGGCATAGGGGCTGTGGGCCTTAATCAGACATTCAAATTTGTGGAGTTTGGAGTTTGGAGTGCCACATGCTTCCTTGCCCTTTGCAATCAGAAGTGTCATGCTCTCAGGTGTGTGATGGGAACAGGCGTGTCACCCATGGTAATATTAGTGACCCTGTGTTGAGCTGAAGATCATCATGGGGGCACAGCCTGCAGCCATATTGAGTATTTCTAGCTGGCACTGGTTCTAAGTTGCAGCACTGCAGAACCTGCAGTCCTCCGCTACACAGAAGGGGTGGGGGGCTGTGCATGAAAGGGGATTTGAGTGGTGTGGGGGCAGGCAGTTTGGTAAGTGTGGGCCAGATCGTCACAAGGGCTGGGGCCAGCAATTCCTCTCTGCTCTTGCTACCTCCCTGCCTCCGTCAAGATGATCATAAAGGTTAAATGTCAAAGGATTATTCTTTATAGGAAAAATAAATCCAAGTTATACATTTAATTGTGGAGGCTTAAGGGTCAGGCATTAAACCTTGGTATTCATAGTCCCCTCCTAAAGTTGGAATCAAATGAGCAATTAATGTGGGAGTCCTAGGGATGAGACTGAGTAAGAGAACATGGTTTTCACGTTCAGTGAAATAAAGCAAAGCCCTGAGTAGAACACTTGCCCGTCCCCCAGGTAGAACTACAGTGCCTGTCTCTTTTAGATGAACAGAGAAGACAGTAGAATCTATCTCCCTAGTGGTCACATGGACCTGAAATACAGAAAGATCAAAGAAAGGCACAGACTGATGGGGAAGACACAGAGAAGTGTGTGTTAAAAAAGTAAAGAAAAAAGAGACAAAAGCGATGTAGAGACATTCGGAGAGAGAGAGAGAGAGAGATGAGAAACAAACACAGGAAGATTGTCAGACAGATGGAAATGGAGATGTAAATAGATAAATGCATGGATAGAACGACAGAAGGAGAGAGACAGGAACGCAAAGTACAGAGAAAGCTGTGAGGGAAAGAGGAACAGAGGATGGGGTGGGCTTTCGGTGCAGCCGTAAAGTCACTGTTGGGACACCTGATCCCACATCTGAGTGCCTGGTTCAAGTCCCAGCTACTCCACTTCCCATCCAGCTTCCTGCTAATGCACAAGCTGGGAGGCAACAGATGATGGCTCAAGCACTTGGGTCCCCACCACCCACAAGGGAGACCTGATGCAGCTCCAGGCTCCTGGCTTTGGCCCCGTGCCAACTGTTACAGGCCTTTGGGGTGTGACTCAGTAGATGGAAGATTCATGTCTGTCTCTCCACCTTTCAAATAAAATAAAAAGAAAGCTTTTAAAAAGAGGAAGAAATGGGGCAAGGAGGAGCAGAAAGATGGAGAGGAAACAGAAGAGAGCGAATCATTCACAGAGGGAGAGCAGGACACATGGGATCCAAGAAATCAGCACACTAGAAGCACGGAAGGAAGACATGGGGACGGTGGAGAGAGAGAGAGAATGATTTGATTGGACGTTGAGTATCTCCCTCTACCAGACCCACTGTTCAGGCCTGCAGTGAGATGGGTGAGCTGCACAGGGACCGGAAGTGTCCCTCCCCACTTTTGCCTCCTGGTGAGGGAAGTGGGACTTCCTTGCCATCCGCGGGTGTATACACAGTAGAGTTAACACAGGAGAGTAGGCGGTGAAGCCAGCTTTAACTCCATTATGCGAAACTTTGCAGCTGTAACACTCCCCTGCGTCTTGAGAGGAATCTGAATATGAAGCTGTTGTAGAGGGCAGGTAGGTGACCCCGGTTTTTGAGCTCAGGTCCTTGGATCCAATAGGGCTCGATGAAGCATCTGCATCCCCCTTAGTAAACAGTGTCCACATAAGTTCGCAGTGGGTGGACACACGGAGACCACCGAGTGGTAGAGCCACCCACGCACGGGACCACCGAGTGGTAGAGCCACTAGCAGATGCTAGAATGAGTTTGGTTTAGGGAGAAGAAAGTCTTCACAGTGGTGATCCAGCAATATGATCCCCAGAGTGTTTGCTTAAAAAAAACCTCCAATAAATTTTCTGGGAATAATGGTATAAATGAGTTTGATTAGTTTCAAATGGTTTATGTTTCATAGGAGAACAGTTTTCCATTTGCTTCTTCCTAGACTTTTCGGGTAAAGAGCGTGAAGACTCTGAGCTGGTGTCTCATCTGATGCCCGGGACTGAGAGCAGATCTGCTGTCTCCCCATTTGCTTGCCTGTCCAATATCACGGATCAGGATTTGTTTGGTGTTCACATGACAAATGATGTAAGTCCGTTTTGTTGTGACAATTTCTTTCATTCTGTTTATTCATCAATGAGAAATAGCCTTTATCTGATTAGAACACTAGGTCAGTGTCCATGTCTGAATAGTGATGCTTCCCAGTGGAGTGGGAAAATACTTTTAAAATAAAAAATACCAGGAAAACAGGGAGGTTTCTCAGTCACCATGGCATTAGTCAGCTTTTCAATACTACAGTGAAATACCAGAGGCAACTCACTCTGGTAAGGAAAAAAGTTTGTTTAGCTCACAGGTTTGGAGGTTCAAGTCTGGGGACCTGGTGCAGACCCTGGTGAGGCTCTGTGTTGTGTGTGCAGGAAAGATCATGTGGTGAGCCAGGAAGCAGAGAGCCTGGGCCCGAGCTCAGGTGTTTGGAACAACCCGCATCACCTGAAGGCCTCCCACTCAGCCCCACCTCCTAAAGGTTTCCCCTCCTCCTAATGCCACCACCTTAGGGAACAGGCTTCTACCACGGGGGCCTTTTGGGGACCTGCGACATCCAAAGCCATATCCGGACCACAGCAGCTGTATGCACTGCCTCTCATAAGCCCCTGCTACGCCAGGTGTGAGCCAAGGAGACCTGGCCGTCCACGTCACCTGCCAGCAGTGCAGTCTCGGGAGCGTCTCTGGGTGTTACGTCCAGAGTGCACACTGGAGTTAGATCCTGCTGTCAGTCATTCGAGGGCAATGTGTTTTGTTTCTCCTTGTTTTTATTTTTATTTTTTATGTCTGAATGCATAGAGTGGTGTGTTGTGCAGCATGGAGATATGAATGATTCAGCATGAGCCAAAGAGGTCACTGTGGCATGGTCAGACTCCCAGTCCTGACTGTCCCTGGACAGTTTATTCAGGTAGCAAGTTGAGAGGAAATGAGCCCTGATGACTGGGACTGTGTCACTTGCCACGATCTGGTCATTGTGTCCTGGAAAGCAGTATAAGAACAGATATTGTGGAGTGTGGGGAAGAACAACACTCTCACTGTGTATTGTTGCCAAGATAAAGCTTGGACATTCAGAAATATTTTCTTCAGGGAGAATTAATCTAAGAAATATTCGTAATATGTTTCTGAAGTTGTAAAAGTGGCCGTGTAAATTCTTTTACTTATTGAAAGGCAAAGTTACAGAAAGAGAGAGAGAGAGAGAGAGAGAGATCTCCCATTTGCTGATTACTCCCCAAGTGGCCGAAATGGCTGGGGCTGGGGCTGGGCCAGGCCAAAGCCAGGAGCCCAGAGCCTTTCCCAGGTCTCCCACGTGTGTGCAGGGGCGCAAGTACTTGGGCCATCCTCCACCACCCTCCCAGGCGCTCTAGCAGGGAGCTGGTTTGGAAGCAGAGCAGCTGGACCGCGAACAGGTGCCCATATTGGATGCAGGCACTGAAGGCAGTGGCCCAACCTGCTACACCACAACAAAGGCCTGACCATGTAAAATTAATTCTAAATAAATTGGAGCCATCATTTCCATGCTTTCAAAAACAGTTTTGATATTTTATCTGGTCAGTCATATTATAGTTTTGGGAAACTTGGTACACTGTTTACTGTCTGATACTAGTACTAAACATGTATTGAGTTATTGTTTTATTTTAAATGATTTATTTATTTATCTGTGAGGCAGAGTGACAGTGGGGTGGGGTGAGAGATGCTGGCTCATTCTCCAAAAGGCCATAGAAGCTGGGGATGGGCCAGTCAATAGCCAGGAGCCAGGAGCTTCTTCTGGGTCTCCCATGTGGGTGCAGGGGCCCAAGCTCCTGGGCCGTCCTCCACTGCTTTCCCAGGCACATCAGCAGGGATCTGGATGGGAAGCAGAGCAGGTGGTCTAGAAAAAGCACTTCAATGTGGTGAGCCTTTATTGCAGGTGAGACTTAACCTGCTGTACAACGCTGCCTCCTGGGTTACTGCTTTAACTAGCTACCGACAATGAACCGTGGTGACCAGATTTTATAATAAAGGTCACTTTAAGAGAAAAATGTGAGTAACCTGAGGCCTCTGTGTACCCTCAGGCTATCTTACGAACACTCAGTGTGGATGTCAGCAATGTTCCTCTCCTTTGCTTGTACAAACGGGATCAAAGTGGCCGGAAGTATTTTTTGAATGCCTATGCACTGGACTTCTACAAGCATGGTTCCTTGTTCTCACTGGCTTCAGACAACTGGTATGACTGCTCCTACTTTAACATGCTCCAGATACATCTGTGTGTTTGTGTAATGGAGGTTAAGGGGGCTGATGCATTGCTATGGTTTCTGTGGCATTAATTTTAAGATGCAGTGTTTAAGAAGGGTAATTAAGAGGCAGTTTGTTTTGAACAATTACAAGTTTTTTTTCCTAGAGATGAAGTCCACATGACATAAAATTAACCATTTTTAAGTGAGTAGTACAGTGGCTTTAGGTATATTTGCAGCATTGTGCATGCACTGCTGCTATCTAGTGACAAAACATGTTCATACCCCAAGGGTAAGTCCCTGACCTTCAAGGAATAGTTCCTGTCCTCTCTCTGACACTGCCAGTCTGCCCTCTGGCTCCGTGGGTTTGCCTTGGTCTGGGTGTTTACTATGAAGGGAATCACGTGGCTGTGTAACCTTGCGTGTCTGGCTTCTTTCGCTGTAATACTCCAGTGTCCATGCTGGTGCAGGTTTCAGTACTTTGGTCCGTTGTAGGAGGGGTCTTCCAAATGTTCTTGGCAGATGCATATTATGAAAAGAATGCCTGCCTGGATTTCAAAATATTTTTTTGAATGAAAGTAAACGTTTTGTTTTATTTCATTTTTTCCCCAAACACTTTATATTTGTCTTTTATTTGAGAGGCAGAGAGAAGAGACAGAGAGGGATCTTTCATTCACTGATTTACTCCTCAAATGCCAAATATGGCCGTGGCTGGGATCTTAGTCCAGGTCTCTCATGTGGGTGACAGGGACCCAATAACTTGAGCCATTACTGGTGCCTCCCAGGGTACACGTTAGCAGGCAACAGGAATCAGGAATCAGCCAGAACTCAAACCCAGGCACTCTGAGATGGGATAAGACCATCCCAAGCAGCATTTTCACTGCTGCGCCAAATGCGTATCACTGTGTTTTATTTTTGCAGACTTCTTGAAGTGTCCTCGTGTGTACATACACAGTTCTTTTATGTAGTTGAACATTTGGGTTGTTTCTACCTTTGGCAGTTGTGAGCACTGGTGCTATGAACATGCATGCACACGCGTTGCTTTGCATTCCTGTTCTCAATTCTTTTGGATCTGTATGTAGGGATAGAATTGCTGAGTCATGTTAACTCAATGTGTACCATTTTGAGAGACTGAAAATTGTTTTCCACAAAAGTAAACCAGGTTCCATGAAAGTAAACATTGCCCAAGCAATGTACAAGGATTTAAATTTCTCCACCATCTACCATGCTTGTTATTTCATTTTTCCCCTTTATTATAACCATGGTGGTAGGTATCAAGGGGTATCTCATGGTTCTGATCTAAATTTTTCTAAATACTAACAATGCTGAGCATGTGTTCATACACTTGCATGTCATTTGCAGCATGGTGTTAAAATTATCCCCTGTGTTAACCTTCTCCAGAGAAAGAGTATCTGTCTAGCAAGTCCCTTTGTATCTATCATCCATCTATCATTTAATTTTTTATTTAAGGAGTTGGCTCAAATGATTATGGAGACTACGAAGACTCAGCCAGAGACCCAGGGAAGTCAGTGCTGTAAATTCTAGCTTGAGTCCCAAAGCCTGAGAACCATGAACTCCTGATAGTTCAGGTTCGAGTTCAAGAGTGGATCAGCGTCTCGGGCAGTCAGGCCGAGAGAGAACGCATTCTGCCTTCCTCTGCCTTTTGTCTGTTGAGACGTTGTCATGGAGTATAGAAAACTGATGAGGAATTGCTGGAAGAAAGTTTATTTGAGAATAAAGAGTATACTAAAGCAGTGTGTGTTGGGGGAATTAAAAAACTACGACGACCAGCCGGCGCCGTGGCTCAATAGGCTAATCCTCCACCTTGCGGCGCCGGCACACCGGGTTCTAGTCCCGGTTGGGGCGCCGGATTCTGTCCCGGTTGCCCCTCTTCCAGGCCAGCTCTCTGCTATGGCCAGGGAGTGCAGTGGAGGATGGCCCAGGTGCTTGGGCCCTGCACCCCATGGGAGACCAGGAAAAGCACCTGGCTCCTGGCTCCTGCCAGGATCAGCGCGGTGCGCCGGCTGCAGCGGCGGCCATTGGAGGGTGAACCAACGGCAAAGGAAGACCTTTCTCTCTCTGTCTCTCTCTCTCACTGTCCACTCTGCCTGTCAAAAAAAAAAAAAAAAAAAAAAAAAAAAAAAAAAAAAAAAAAAAAAAAACTAGGACGACCATGGTGACAAGGTCAACAACATGTACATGCCTAAGGCAGAAGGTTCGCTCAGGGAAAGCGTGAGATGAGCCTACGCTTTCACCTCTTGCAGGTCTCTAGGAACAGTGCAAGAAGGGAGTGAATTTAAGACAAAGATCAAAAACGGAACCAGACAGACGGCAGCAGGTTGTTAGATTGCCTTGCCGTGTTCTCAAGGAGTGCCTGCTGCTTCTCTCTCTCTGAGTGCCTATGCAGGCTCCGCAAGGGCAAGTGCCTCACCCCTCCTTCAGGCGGCCCCTGGACAGCTCAGAACTGACAGGGCGGCTCCGCTCCCCCTGCAACCAGGGAACAAGGGCCCCCGCAGTGAGCATGGGCTGCTGTCTTCAACAGTGCCCCTGAGCTCAAGGGGAGGATGGAGGAGGGGGAGTAAAGATGTCACAGTTTTCCCGCCTTTTTCTTGATTCAGAGTTAAGCCTTTGTTTCCCAGAGTCTGATAAAGCTGACTGATAGTTTTTGCCTGCTCTCTCTCTATTTTATGCTTTTACTAGGGGATGTGTCCTTACAGCAGCCCACTCTGTCTCTCACTGACTCTCCCGTACTGGACACTGTAAGATTAATTCTGGTAATATCAATGCGCTAATATACAAGAGCATGGAAAGTTGTGTCTTTTTTTAGCCAAATGATGAGCCTGTTTACCAGGCTACCTGGAGCTGAACGCAGAAGCAAAGCACTGGCCCTGCCGAGGGCAAGCCAGAGACTGCGCGCTCCCAGAGCTGCGTTGACAGTGTCTCTGGACAGGCCGACAGTGCAGCATCCATGGATTACTCCCCCTGCTTCGGGGGGCACACCAGAACCCACTTCATTCCCTCACGTGTCATTTTACTCTTGTTTATCTGTAGGTTGAACATGGGCGATGCTTTTCACTTAATCAGAGACTTCATACTGACCATTCAGTCCATCAGGTACCGTACACTTCTCAGTGTTGGAAGCCCATAGAACCAGTTAAACATCTCTAGGCACACATCACAGTGCTAATAAACACTGTATGTTTTTATACAGAATTTCACTAAGTGAGCTGTGCGGTGATGAGGATGACAATGTTGTGTTAGCGTTTCAACAACTGAGTGATGCCTTCAGTAAGAAACTTTGGAAACGAAGATGACGCTGTCTGTGTTAAACCGGGCCCTAGGACCTTCCTGGAAGATGAAGACGGCTAAGAGCTCCCTGCGCCTCAGCGCTTCAGGAAAGAGGCTTGCAAATGGCTGTGCAGGAACCACCCTTTCCCATAAGACTCTGATAAGACACCCAGCATTCCCTCGCTTCCCTGTGCCAATGCTTGATTCTCCCTCCAAATTCCCATTCATGTCTCCCAAAAAAGCCAGCTGATGTGTTTTCTTCCCTAAGCAATCTGGACGTAGTAGCAGTTACCTTGACCTGCTCCTGCTTGACCTTGACCTGCTCCAACTTTACTCAGGATTCTTCCCTCCTCACAGGGGTCCTGAACGTGGCCCACCCTCAGACTAAGCCCCGCTGAGTGGCCTCTCCTTAAACAGCTCCCCAGTGACATCTCAGATGATTGTCCCCAAGCGGCTGTGCTTGCACACATCAACGGTGACTGGCAGTGTCAGCCCAGGATGTTCCCGGAGCCACTGTTCACCTCACTCTCCCACAGCTGATGCTAGAAGTAAAATACGTTGCCTAGCTAAAGTATAGGTTGTGTAATTATTGAAAGACATCATAGCAAAGAAACCCTTTTTTTAAATACCTGAATTCTCAACAGAAACTAACATTTTCCTTCTATGAGCATTTTAGCATGCAAAAGTAATATATGCTAAATAGCTCAAACAGTTGCTATTTTCAAATTATTTTAATTGTACTTACTTGTGGGCTGCAGTGTGATAATTTGATAGATGTATGCAATGACTATTTTGGCCTTGAAATGTTCAGATCATGAGAATTTAAAACTAGAAGTCAAGCTCGATTTAAAATTATGTGATAACAGCCCTTAGAAGGGAGTTGGAATCTTGACATTGACTTCAGAAGTCTAATTATTGCTGAGAGTTCATGTTGTCCCCAAGTCCTGTAATGTGAGTGCTCCATTTCATTCCTCCTATCAGACACTTAGGCTCTGGGTACGTTCCCCCATCCCCCCCGAGACCAGCAGGAGCAAGCACACAGGGACTAGACCATATGCTGTTGAAAAAGTCCCATGTGGGATAAGCACAGTAGAACCCTCACCAGGCCATCCGGCTGGATCGCCTTGCTCAGCCTCACCCACCACCGCTCCTGACCACCCTGGTGTGTTGTCTGCTCTGGCTGAGCCCGGGAGTCTTCTGAGCTAAACTCACCTGTCCCTGCCTCTGCTTTCCTTCGTGGCTGGATTGTGGCATCAGTTTGTGTTCTCTCCCAAATCTGAGCTGAGTGTGTTGCTGACCTGCTGAATTGTGGGAGACAGAGGGAATCGGGCTTTACTGATGGCACAAAGCATTTGAGAGTCTTTGATGCCGATCTGAAGAAGTGAAGACAAAAACGTGGAGCGATGGATTTCCTCACATTGCTTGGGCAACTGATTGGCATTACGCTTGGTTGTTAAGATGCCTGGCGTTGTGGCATAGCAGGTGAAGCTGCTGCCTGCAGTGCCAGCACCCCATATGGATGCTGGTTCAAGTCCTGGCTGCTCCACTTCCAATCCAGCTCTCTGCTATGGCCTGGGAAAGCCGTAGAAGATAGCTCAGGTCCTTGGATGCCTGTACCTGCGTGGGAAACCTGGAAGAAAATCCTGGCTCCTGGCTTCGGATCAGCACAGCTCTGGCCATTGTGGCCAATTGGGGAGTGAACAGCAGATGGAAGACCTCTCTCTCTCTCTTTGCCTCTCCTCTCTCTGTGTAACTCTGACTTCCAAATAAATAAATACATCTTTGAAAAAAAGCCTGTGTCCCACCTAGTAGTGCTTTTGTTCAGTGCCTGGCTCTGGCTCCTGATTCCAGCTTCCTGCTAATGTGGACCCCTGGTGGTGGGGGTGTGGGTGGTTGGTGATTGCTTAGGTAGTTAGATCTCTGCCATTCACATGGAGAACCAACTTTGGTTCCTGTCTCTTGGTTTTTGTCACAGATGGGAGGTCTCAGCCTGTCAGTTTCTCTGCTTCTCAAAATAAAAATTAGCAGGAGATAAGTTGCCTTTAACAGAGTGTTGTCAAATATGCATATCTTATTAGGACATCCAAGTCTCTTGTGAACTTGATATGCATATGTCTGGCTGCATTTTGCTGCTTTATATGCATTTTATTTTATTTATGTATTTTTTTTTATTTAGTAAATATAAATTTCCAAAGTACAGTTTATGGATTGCATTGGCTCCCCCCCATAATTTCCCTCCCACTCGCACCCCTCCCATCTTCTGCTCCCTCTCCCATTCCATTCCCATCAAGATTCATTTTCAATTATCTTTATATACAGAAGATCAATTCAGTATATATTAAGTAAAGATTTCATCAGTTTGCACCCACACAGAAACACAAAGTGTAAAAATACTATTTCAGTACTAGTTATAGCATTACTTCACATTGGACAACACATTAAGGACAGATCCCACATGAGAATTAAGTACACAGTGACTCCTGTTGTTGACTTAACAATTTGACACTCTTGTTTATGGCATCAGTAATCTCCCTAGGCCCTAGTCATGAGTTGTCAAGGCTATGGAAGCCTTTTGGGTTCGCTGACTTTGATCTTATTCTGACAGGGTCATAGTCAAAGTGGAAGTTCTCTCCTCCCTTCAGAGAAAGGTACCTCCTTCTTTGATGGCCCTGTTCTTTCCACTGGGATCTCACTCGCAGATCTCACTTGCAGAGATCTTTCATTTAGTGTTGTTGTTGTTGTTGTTGTTTTTTTTTTTTTTTTTTTTTTTTTTTTTTTTTTTTTTTTTGCCAGAGTGTCTTGGCTTTCCATGCCTAAAATACTCTCATGGGCTCTTCAGCCAGATCTGAATGTCTTAAGGGATGATTCTGAGGCCAGAGTGCTATTTAGGACATCTTCCATTCTATGAGTCTGCTGTGTATCCCGCTTCCCATGTTGGATCGTTCTCTCCCTTTTTGATTCTATCAGCTAGTATTACTAGTATTAGCAGACACTAGTCTTTTGTGTGATCCCTTTGACTCTAAGTCCTATCAGTGTGATCAATTGTGAACTGAAATTGATCACTTGGAATAGTGAGATGGCATTGGTACATGCCACCTTGATCGGATTGTATTGGAATCCCCTGGCACATTTCTAACTCCACCATTTGGGGCAAGTCCGATTGAGCATGTCCCAAATTGTACGTATCCTTCCTCTCTTATTGCCACTCTTATATTTAACAGGGATCACTTTTCAGTTAAATTTAAACACCTAAGAATAATTGTGTGTTAATTACAGAGTTCAAACAATAGTACTAGAACAAAAAAATACTAAAATGGTTATGGGACATGTACTCTATAGAATACTATACAGCAGTCAAAAACAATGAAACCCGGTCATTTGCAACAAGATAGAGGAATCTGGAAAACATTATGCTGAGTGAATTAAGCCAGTCCCAAAGGGACAAATATCATATGTTCTCCCTGATTGGCGACAACTAACTGAGCATTTTATTTTAAAGACTGCCATAGGAGTTCACTTGAACTTTATTGTATTTTTACAGAAGTTTGAAAATTCCTCTAAATAGGATGATCACACAATGCATTTTCCTTGCTGTCCCAAAATACACTAAGGAAAGTCTTGAGTAGATTCCCTGTCGGGTACAGATAATTCTCATTTAAATAAAACCTATTCTGGGGCCGGCACAGTGGATTAAGCTGCCACCTGTGACATTAGTATCCCATAAGAACACCCAGCTGCTCTACCTCTGATCCAGTTCCCTGCCAGTGTACCTGGGAAAGCAGACAAAGATGGTTCAAGTGCTTGGGTCCTTGTACCCACATGGAGGACTTGGATGGAGTTCTAGGTTCCTGGCTGCTTGTGGCCATTTGGGTAGTGAACCACAGATGGAGGATCTCTCTCTTTCATTCTCTATCTCTCCCTCTCTGTTAACTCTGCCTTTCAAATGATTAAGTCTTGAAGAAAAACCAAAACACTGTATTCCATGGCAATATTGTTATTATTCCATCATATACAAATTAATTCTTTGATGATCAAATAACAGGTGCAAATCCTTGATCATAGATTTTCATTCATAGATTTTGGAATAATTTTACAGACAGAAGAGAAAATTTGATCTTGTAGTTTGGTGGTGGTGTGAGTGACAACGCATGTGTCACACTCTGTGCTCTGATGTGTCTGTGAAGAGTGCCCGGCGCTCCCCATCCTCCCCTCTGTGTCAGCAGTCCTCCATGTCACCAGCACAGATGGCCAGCAGTGCCTTCTTATAGTGCCCTGAAGCAAAGTGCTGAAAAGGAAAGAAAAAAAAAATACAACGTATATGAAATAAAATTGTCGGAGAAACACAGTGTTTCTGAAGTGCAAAATTAGCCTTCCCAAAATTATTCACTTTTTTTTAATCTAAAGATTTAATGTTTCTGAGAATGGTTCCCAGTGAAACCACTGAAACATAATGCTGTGGGGATAGTCAGCAGTGTGTGGGTGAAAGCGCGTTGATTGACGTCTGCTTAGCACAACAGTGACTTGCAGTAGAATTCAATCTCCTCAGCTGTAGAAAGAGCTGTCTTACACTATTATTGGTATAAATCAGGGCGGAGCCTGGGGAAAAATTGTTGCTGCATCTCCAAAGATTTAAAAATGCTCATATTCATGAATGCAGTAATCCTATCTCAGGAAATAGATTTGAAATTATTAGTTATGCTGTGTATAATAGTGAAAAACTGAAAAGCGGTGTAAAATCATGTGAGGTAGCTTAAGTATGTTACAGTTTATAGAGTGGGATACCATGATTCAGTAGAAGGATTCCTTTTATTAATGAGACATATCAGTAGTTATTTATTTTTAAAAGACAACCCAAAGCAGCCATCTATTTGGGTTGCTATAACAAAATGCCATCAAGCTGGAATGTTATAAATGACAAGAACTTATTTCTCTTGGATCTGGGTGCTGGAATGGCCAAGATCAAGTTGCTGGCAGATCCGGTGTCTACCCAGGGTCCGTGCTCATATGGACAGCCGCCTTCTCACTCTAACCTCATGTGGTGAACCCCATTCTATGAAGACATTAATCCCATACAGAGGATTAGGAGACTAGGATTTCCCCATCTGAATTTTGTGGGGTCCTCCAACATTCAGACCATAGCAGCACCTACAACAAAATTTTATTCTGCGGTGGAGAATTAGGGAAGTTTTTATTTTTACTTTTTATGCTCTTCTATAGTTTCTAAATTTCCCCAAACAATGATAGTAATAAATAAAATATGATAAAAATTTATCTTTGTTAAAAAATCAGCTATCGTATTAATGTTCTCTTGCACAATGTTGTCATGTAATTCTCATTCACGGCTTTGAATGCATCCTGAAGTTGCTCTAATTATGTGAACTCTTAGCAGACTTTGAGGTGGCTGAGATTCATTATGCTAAGCAGCTAAGACCTAGCCATTCATGTGGAGAAGGAGTTATGACCTGCATTGCTCCATGGGAAATGTTTAGTGTCCCAAACGAGTTGAAGGTTTCGGAGGTTTTAGAGGTGGATGTAAGGAGAGCTTTAGCAAAGATAAAGGAATTGGATTCCCTTAACTGCTCCACCTGGGCTGCAAAGGGCCTGCAAAGTCTTCTGGATTTATGATCTCTGGGTCTTTGGGTTGTTGAATTGCTTCTGGATCACTCTTCCAATAAATTAAAGAGCTGTTTCCAGAAGTTGAAAATTTCCATTGAAAACACATGAACAAGGATACAGCCCTTAGCTCTGTGCAGATGCAAACTATGACATGTTCTCAGTGCCCCATTGCCAGCATCTTTAGAATTAGTTTGAACAAGAGGCCAAGGAGTGTTTATTTTTCACTGGGTCCTAAAAATTACATAGCTGATCTTATGTATTCTGATAGCTTTTATCAAAACCCACAGTAGAGGTTAGAGGTATCAGGATGAAGAGCTGACTTGTTTCCTTCTGATGTGTAGAGTGTTCTACAACCAGTAGTGCCAAACTTCACAGTGGTCGGTTGACAGCGTCTGGCTGGCTGCTTGCTTTCCATGGCTTGTGAGAGCCCAGCTGGACTGGTTTTAGAATCTCTTCACCATTAATATGATCTTGCTGCAAAAACGTGTTTTTCCTCATCCTGATCACACTTCAGAATTTAGCTCATAAGGTGCAATTCTAGGGCATGGATGTTTTATTTGGTTACATCTGTGATTTACCTTAGACTAAGAGGAGTCAGCTCTGTCAATTCAGGTGAAGGGGTTGTCTGCGGCTGCAACCTGTTGTACTCAAAGGCAACAGTAGTAGTTGCTCGAGTAGTAACCCAGACTGCCCCTATTAGGACTCTACCAAGAAAGCATTCAAATCAAAGCGTTTAGCACAGTCACAGTTTCAGAAACGATGAGAAGGGGGTCACGTTGCTCACACGCAGTAGACTTACTCTGATATCATGAAACAGGGATTTCCCATATCTCTCTTTGTACCGTGTTCTTATGGTCATCAAGTCTATTTCACTTCTAGCAATGAGGATCCGGATCACGGTTTTATTATGGAAACCAAAGTCCTAAAAGATACAGAAGGGGAGGGAGGTGGGTTGAGGAAATAGTACTTGAGCATCAAGAGAGATTGAGCCCTTGGCTGGAGTGACTGCTGTTCTCCTAGTCCTCAAATGCAGGCACTGCTGTCCCATCCCATGGTGCTCAGCCTGACCCCGAGAGCTGCCTCTGTGACTTCTGCTCACTTCAAGCGCACTTAGGGTGAGTTATTCTGTTCCACCTGACGTCTCGCCTGCCCTGGGTCATGGCCTTGACTCTGACCCCTGTCCTTTCTCCCTGACTCTGTAATAGTTTCTCCCTTTTCCATCCTGGCCAACCTTCATATTGTCTCTGTCACATTTCATGCTGTAAATGGCAAATCTCATTATGTGTTCTTTCTAGATAAATATCCTGGGGAGGAGAGATTCCAACCTTTATTAGTAGATCATGGATATAAGACATTACATTGTCATTCTGTAATCTGGTGATTGTTGAAAAGTTGTAAAAATAAGAGCCCCAGGTGCTTGAAGTACTTTCTGATTTAAATACCCCAGAATACAAGATCAATGGCCATGTACTTCTCGCAGATATACTGCTTGACAAATGGTTCCAACTCTTTCCAGATGGGGGAATGGTGATCTCTAGTGGCCAGCAAGCATAATGCAATTTTTGATAATTGGGATAATAGATCTCACAATTTGAGGTGATTAAAATGAATGATCCAACCAAGTTCCCAAATGTAGATTGTAGGTCATTAACTTAGAGTGCCCTGGGGAGAACACAGGAAGATGCTTTGGTGTGTGAATGGGGAAATGGCCTTTTTGACAAATATTTGGCATCTGAGGTCCTCATATATCAGACATTTGATTACCTGACTATGCAGCCCTCCCCCTCGCCTCCCAACCACTTGTGAGTGCACACGCCTTCCTGCTCCCATACAACCTATGGACATATGCGATACTTAGACTAAGTAGCTCTGAATTTAGGCATCAGTGGGATCAGGGTAGCTGAGGTGATTTTCCATGGTCATGGACTAGTGAAGCTTTCTCTGTTGTTAGCTCTTTGGAGCAAAGACTTGAAACACCCCATAGCTTTGCCCAACACACTGCTGTACTTCAAATACAACTTCAATCAAATCAATCTTTTCTCCTTGGAAGGGTTACTTCCTTTCTATAACTGGAACTTACTTAGGTTCTTGTGCGTAAATAAATACTCAACTCAGAAGATGCACAATAAAGTACCCTTGACTATAAGTATTTTCTTGGCATGCTGGCTGCATTTAAGAAGTTGGTGTATAAAAATTACTTTGAAGATAAAGCTACTAAAATTACTGTGTCATTAGATTTTTTTAAGTTTTCAAGGTTCTCTCTCTACACACACACACACACACACACACACAGATGTATATACAATCTTCAAATATATTTCATGCACATTATGGATAAAGTGTACATGAGAGGACTTCAGAAAGTTTGTGGAAAAATAGAATTAAAAAATAAGTATTTTGGTGCAAAAAAGTTTAAAATCTATGTCTAGTTTTGTTTTTATAATATGAATTTTATATTCTTTTTTTTTTTTTTTTTGACAGGCAGAGTGGACAGTGAGAGAGAGACAGAGAGAAAGGTCTTCCTTTTGCCATTGGTTCACCCTCCAATGGCCGCTGCGGCCAGTGTGCTGCGACCGGCGCACCACGCTGATCCGATGGCAGGAGCCAGGTGCTTCTCCTGGTCTCCCATGGGGTGCAGGGCCCAAGCACTTGGGCCATCCTCCACTGTACTCCCTGGCCACAGCAGAGAGCTGGCCTGGAAGAGGGGCAACCAGGACAGAATCCGGCGCCCCAACCAGGACTAGAACTCTATGTGCCGGTGCCACAAGGCGGAGGATTAGCCTAGTGAGCTGCGGCGCCGGCTGAATTTTATTTTCTTAAAGACTGTATAAATGCATGGATTTCAAAATTTGGGCACCAAAACAAATTTATCTTTTAAATCCATTTCCATGAACTTTTTGAAGTCCCCTCATATTATCTGGTGTACCTGTTTGTTTCCCTAAACACAAATGCTCCAAAGAATGTGATTATCATAATAAAATGTGAAAAAAAATGTCAATTATAAAATAGCTTAGAATTTAGCACTGTCTAGCCATTACTTTAAGTATGTTTGGAAAACAACACCTCATGTTTAAAAATAACCATTAGCATTATTTTGTGTTTTTAAACTTTAGGAAAGTAGCAATTCCTTGCCAAGAGTATAATTTTTTGACATGTTCTTCTTGGTGCCACATATTTTGTGTTTGCATAAGATGATGTGTGCTCTTTGGAAATTAAAAGCATTTGAATTTGCCATTTCTGTGGCTGCTGAGACTCCAAAGGACATGGGGGACAGGACCACAAAGAACCACACTTCTTAGGTACCTACATCTGTACAGAGAGCAGAGCACTACTTTTCTTTGATGAGTCTTATTTCCGTTGCATAACATGATTTTTTTCCCCACTTGGACATATATTTTTTGTACCTGTTTACATACATGTTCAAGAATGGAAATCAATATTTAAATAATCGAAATAAAAATAGCTATTGGAGAAAACAGATTCCATTTCTGAAGAAAGTTTGAAAACGTGTGGGTCTTACTTACATGGATGGCACTGTGCAGTCGATAAGCAAAGTAGGCTGGTTTATCTCGAACACAGAGCACTAGGAGAAATCAGAATGAAAAGGAGGAGCGCTGGGTGTGATAATGTTTGAGAAACAACGAGATGCTTTTTTCCTGCTGTTACAATCCTCATGTTGAATGGTGATTTCAACATGTAGAGCAATGATCACACTTGTGACAGTTTATGACACCAAGGTGAGATCATTCCTGTCATCTCTAGACAGAATTCGGGCTGGGGCCGGCGCCGCGGCTCACTAGGCTAATCCTCCGCCTAGCGGCGCTGGCACACCGGGTTCTAGTCCCGGTCGGGGCGCCGGATTCTGTCCCGGTTGCCCCTCTTCCAGGCCAGCTCTCTGCTGTGGCCAGGGAGTGCAGTGGAGGATGGCCCAGGTGCTTGGGCCCTGCACCCCATGGGAGACCAGGAAAAGCACCTGGCTCCTGGCTCCTGCCATCGGATCAGTGCGGTGTGCCGGCCGCAGCGCGCCGGCCGCAGCGGCCATTGGAGGGTGAACCAATGGCAAAGGAAGACCTTTCTCTCTGTCTCTCTCTCTCACTGTCCACTCTGCCTGTCAAAAAAAAAAAAAAAAAAAAAAGAATTCGGGCTGGGAAGTATTGCAGGAATGGCTCATGTCTGTCCGGGATAACAACTTTCTTGAGATCCCAAAGCGATTCTTTCTCTTCTACAAGCACTCCATGCTTTGTACTACTCACACCTGCAGGTATCCACAGATTTCGGGAACAAGGTTGATCTTGAACACTGTTTACGATTGCAGCTTATTCAGACAAAACGCTCTAGAGAGAACGCTTGTCCAGCAATGGACCAACACCCATGAACTGATGTCAACTGCTGCCTTGGTTTTCCAAGAACAAAGAACTTCGTATCCAAGTCCTTGCATAAATTTCTTCCCTTTGCCTAAATAAACCTCCTTGAACCCTCCCATAGTTTACTAAAACACTCATATCCCCTTCACAATGCTCTGTCATTGTCAAATCCATGTCTTCATTCTTTAGAGACTCTCTTCTCTGATTGTTATTTAGACTGATACACCACAACTCTTAGAAAACACATGAAGCAGCAGTGTTGTAATGATTCATTCAGAATTTCATTTAATCTCTATCTTTCTCTTGGAACTCTGTTGGTTCCTGGAAAAGCAAAGTTTGTCATCTTTGAAAAGGAACTAAGTAGGGCTTCCAAAAGGCCCAGTTTATCAGCATTGTTACTGAAGCTTTGCTAATGTGGGATTCACCAAGACATAGCCCCCATGCAGTTCCTTCATCTTCCCAAATGCTACTTTTAGTCCCTTATAGACTTGTATGTAGATCTGAAGTCACTTAAGCAGAACGTGTAAGGACCATAACTAGTCTAGGCCAGTTTTAGGAGTCATCCAATCAAAACTGCCATAGCATTAGAACAGCATAGAGCCTTGGTCAACAACTATCCTGGATGGAATTCAGTTGATGACTGTAGCACTCAACAGAGTAAGTGGATGAATGCGTGACTGAGTGATTAATGTGTGAGAGGTTATGACATAGAATAACCGTAGAATAAGTGCATCGCAACAGCATTTTCTCTGTCGTTCAAGTAATTGCTTTAGGTTGTGAGGCCACATCTTCCTCCCTCTCCTGAACAGTGAACTCAGTGATCGCCCTTGAGTCCCTTCTGGGATGTGAGCTCCTTGAAGGAGGAGGACTTTGGCTGTGTCTGTTGATGCTTTCCTCTTCCATCTGCAGTGCCTACATCAAAGGTCAGTAGTGCTCACTGAGTGAGTTAATGACTCAAGGTAAGATGTTTTATGGTGTTTCTGATACCCACTGTGGCCTGTCTTATGTCCACGCTTTGTGCCAATGATCTACATTGGAAAGAGAGCTGGCAAGGTTCAGATGACATGAGCTCCACTCGTAACTTTGTTGCTCATTAGCTCATAGACTTTGGAAGTCACTTAACCTCCTTTGGCCTTGTTTGTAAATGGCAGGGTTTTGATGTGATGTATGGTTACTAGATTTTGTTGAGAATTTTCTAGAACATATGTACCTTATTGTCAGAAAAATACAAAGATGTAAGCAGTCATATACTCTTTCAGGGTTTTGTAAACTCCACCAGACCATTTTCATAGAAACTGCACCCCATGGGAGACCAGGAGCAGCACCTGGCTCCCGCCTTTGGATCAGTGTGGTGCACCGGTCGCAGCGCGCCGGCCGTGGCAGCCATTGGAGGGTGAACCAACGGCGAAAAGGAAGACCTTTCTCTCTCTCTCTCTCTCTCACTGTCCACTCTGCCTGTCAAAAAAAAAAAAAAAAAAAAAAACTCCTTTACTAGATAAACTATGAGAATACTGTTCTCAGCTCCATGTTCATGCAGGTATATGCTATTCTATGCATGGAAAATCAAAATGCTCATTGATTTTGCTCATATCCAAGTAATTCCTGCGTACCTACTATGGGGATATTTCACAATGACCTGTCTTTTATAGTCATTGAACTGTCACAACCCAGGACAAGAAAAGCAAGGGTGACTTATGGTTGATTTTGTAGATAACTATCACTGTTTCTCTGCATGGAAGGTAGTGTTTTTCTACCTAGGAAGCAGGGGGAAGTGTGTGTCTCACAATTGTCTGCAGAAATCACGACTAAATAACAACTCAGTGAATCTCTTTTAGGTAGGATTTACTCTTTTTTTTTTTTTTTTTTACTCTTAAACTTTTTGGAGAAGGTGACCAACTCTTCTCCACCTCCCTACCAACCCAAACAAAAAACTAAAACCCCTTTTCTTCTTGGAGGAAAAGAAGCCACATGGCTGGCCTTGATCTGCTCTTGAACAGGGGATCAGGAATCAGAAAATGTGACATGGATTTAACAGAGTGAGAACCGTTCCTGAGAGACAGCATCCGAGAATGCTGTTTGTTAGTCAGAAAGTTGACGCAGATGTTAGAAGAGCGCTCAGTTCTTCAGTAAAGTCATCAGCCTGGCCATATCGTACGTTCTGTCTCCTGATGTCCTTTCTCTATGTAGGGTTTATATCCCCTTTAAATAATTATTCAGTGGAGAACAGCCAGGCCAGCCAAGAGCTCACTCATGCACCTGTAATTCACTCTGGCACACACAGGTCCGCTGAACCTCATATTTATGATCACTCACCAATGGCAACCAGCAGCTGCTGGAAGTATCCGTCGTAACAATCATTGATGGCATCTACTATGTCTTGCCCAGAGATATTTTGAAATTCCTGGAAAACTTCAACAAATTGGTAGAATTCAAAGGAGATTTTTTTGTATCATAACAATTGCTGATTGCCGTACATAATGAAGGTGAACATTTTATGTAAAGCAATGGACAATACTGCTATTGGTTGTGTAAGTGTAGTCAGTATAGATCTTGGACTTCAAGGATCTACTATTCTCTTCTGGGGAATGATCACTACTTCCTGGGGATCACTGCTGATTTAAATTGACAGGAGGCACATGTCTAGCTGTTATTTATGGGCCTTTTGTTTAGGGCATACACTCAGCTGTACTTAGATCAATAGCAAACTTCTTCTAGAGCTTAGATATTAGAATAAATAAGTGTTAAAATTCTTTGAGTCAGGGCTGGCGCTGTGGCGCAGTGAATTAAGGCCCTGGCCTGAAGCACCGGCATCCCACAAGGGCACCGGTTCTAGTCCCGGCCGCTCCGCTTCTGATCCAGCTCTCTGCTGTGGCCTGGGAAAGCAGTAGAAGATGGCCCAAGTCCTTGGGCCCCTGCACCCATGTAGGAGACCTGGAAGAAGCTCCTGGCTCCTGGCTTTGGATAGCTGCAGCTCCAGCCATTGCGGCCAATTGGGGAGTGAACCATCAGATGGAAGACCTCTCTCTCTGCCTCTTCTCTCTCTATGTAACTCTGCCTTTCAAATAAATAAATAAATCTTTAAAAAAATTCTTTTAGTGATGATTAAATTGTGATCATACAATCTAGGAAGAGGTGCAGGTGTTCAGCCTAGCAGTTAAGATGCCATGTTTCATCCCAAATCAGAGTGCCTGGGGTTGATTCACAGCTCTGCTCCCAATACCAGCTTCCTGATAATAAAAACTTTGGGAGGCAGCAGGTGATGGCTCATGTAATTGGGTTGCTGCCACTCAAGTTGGGAGACCTGGATTGAGTTACCGGCTCCCCACTCTGACCTTGGCCTAGTCGTTGAGGATATTTGGGGAGTGAACCAATGGATGGGAGTTCTCTGTCTCTCTCCCTATTAAGTAAAAGGTAATATGTTAAAAAGAAGCTATGGGCCTGCGCCACGGCTCACTAGGCTAATCCTCCACCTGTGGTGCTGGCACCCCGGGTTCTAGTCCCGGTTGGGGTGCCAGTTCTGTCCTGGTTGCTCCTCTTCCAGTCCAGTTCTCTGCTGTGGCCCGGGAGGGCAGTGGAGGATGGTCCAAGTGCTTGGGCCCTGCACCCGCATGGGAGACCAGGAGGAAGCGCCTGGCTCCTGGCTTCAGATTGGCACAGCGCCAGCCATAGCGGCCATTTGGGGGGTGAACCAACGGAAGGAAGACCTTTTTCTCTGTGTCTCTCTCTCACTGTCTAACTCTGCCTGTCAAAAAAAACAAAAAACAAAAAAACAAAAAACAAAAACAAAACAAAAAAAACACACACACACAAAAACAAGAAGCAGCAGCAGCAGCAGCAGCTGTGGGGGCTGGCATTGTAGTGTAGCAGGTAAAGCTACTGCCTGTGATGCTGGCAGCCCCTGTGGGCATCAGTCTGAGACCTGGCTGCTCCACTTCCACTGTCCCACTGCTAATGCATCTGGGAAAACAGTGAAAGATGGCCCAAGTGTAGGCCATTGCCACCCACTTCAGAGACCTGGAAGAAGCTCCTGGACCCTAGGTTTGGCCTGGTCCTGTCCTGACCATTGTGGCCATTTAAGGAGTGAACCAGTGAACGAAGCTCTCTCTTTTTGTATCTCTACCTCTCTCTCTGTAATTATGCCTTTCAAATAAATAAGTAAATCTTAATCTATGAGGAGTTTTATGAGGACTATGAAATCTCTATTAGGGGCATAGGGTGGCGTTTACTCAGCCAATTTTGCTAAATTAAGCTTCCTATTTCAAGAACTTACTTATCTGGCTTTAACACAGGAAACTAAGTTTTCATTCATTCTTACAGCAAATTGGAAGTGAGGAGGTATCTTTTTACTATGATTTCTAATTAACATATAGAGTAGTGGGGAGTAGGTCTCTCAAAAAATTCTTATCGACTTTGGTGCTTTATATAGAAAAAAACAGTTTTTTTTTTTCAACTTTTAACATTTTAAAAACTAAGTACTGTACAGGATTAAGTGGTACCATGTGGTGGTTCACGGTGTTCAAATCAGGGTAAACATCTCTATCTCCTCAAACACTTATCATGATGAAAACATTCAAAATCCTTTCTTCCAGCTTATTTTGAGAAAAATACAAAGGTCGTTATCTTATCTGTGTTCTCCCTATTGTGCAGGAGAACTTCAGAGCTGCCTGCTCCTATCCAGTGTAACTTAAGCACCTGTTAGCCAGCCTTTTCCCAGCCTCCCCCCACCCCTTCTCTCCCCAGCCTCTGGATTCGACTCTCAACTTCTATGAGGTCAACTTACAAAGTCGATGCTTTCGTTTCTAAGTAAGGGAACAAGGCACTGACATTTGGGGAAAGTCAGACTAATGTCAGTGTCCTTCTGAGACCACTGAGACACTCCTGCTGTCACACAGATTGTGTCAGGAGCAGTGACCCTGGCTGTTACGGACTCATGGAACCATGCTCATCAGCCAGTTTTCAAGGAAACATACAGTGTAATTGACAGGAAATAGCTAATTTTTGGAGTAAGTTCTTCATCAAAAAATAGATATCAATTTTAAAAGGTTCAGTATTTGGAAGTTTACGCAATTTAGTAAACGCAAATAATAAAAGTATAGAGAAAACTGTATTCCTTGGTAATGCCCTGAGATGAAGCAAATCCGTACCAACAGGATTCAAAAAGTAGCTTTGAAGTAAATGGACTTTCCTTTGTTGCACCTTTTTTACTACTTAGCTACTTGCTTTTTTAAAAAGTTATATTTGTTTGAAAGGAAGAGTTGTGGTGGTGGGGGGAGTGAGAGAGGGATTGATCTTCAGTTCTCTGGTTACTTCCCAATGGGCCAGCTCGAAGCCAGGAGTCAGGAGCTCCATCAGGGCCTCCCGCATGGGCGGCAGGGACTCAGCTATGGGCCATCACCTGCTCCCCAGGTGCATTAGCAGGGAGCTGGAACACAAGCAGAGGACACGGGACTCCAGCTGGTGCTTGATATGGCATGTGATATGGGATGTGGGAGTCACAGGTGGTGGCTTAACCCGTGTCCCAGCCCCAGCCCCAGCCCCAGCCCCATGAATGTTCTGTTTTCTGTGTCATAATCAGTGGAGGAGCTGGAAAGAGCCCCCGCTCATCCTCACCCAGCCACAGCTGCTGGTAGCTCTTGTTGCACAGGATCATCTGGAGCATGGTTTTGTGCGCCCCGGTCTTCTGCTGGCAGGCCTCCCACAGCACCTGGAACAGTACACAGCCCGCAGGTGCGTCAGACCCACCCAGCCGCTCCCACACAGGCTGTACACAGTCAGGGCCAGCGCGGGCTCTAGTTACCATTGCGTCCTGGGCGGCCATGGCGGGGTCCGTGTAGCCCTCCTGTCTGGTTGCCTGTAGAATAAGCACAAGTTTTCCTTGTAAGTGACTCAGTAGACGTTGACAAAAATCCTGGAACCATCACATGTTCAGGTCATTCCTGAGCAATTTCTTTTCTTTTTTTCTTTTCTTTTTTTTTTTTTTTTGACAGGCAGAGTGGACAGTGAGAGAGAGAGACAGAGAGAAAGGTCTTCCTTTGCCGTTGGTTCACCCTCCAATGGCCGCTGCGGCCGGCGCGCTGCGGCCGGCACACCGCGCTGATCCGATGGCAGGAGCCAGGTACTTATCCTGGTCTCCCATGGGGTGCAAGCCCAAGGACTTGGGCCATCCTCCACTGTACTCCCTGGCCACAGCAGAGAGCTGGCCTGGAAGAGGGGAAACTGGGAAAGAATCCGGCGCCCTGACCGGGACTAGAACCCGGTGTGCTGGCACTGCTAGGTGGAGGATTAGCCTAGTGAGCCGCTGCGCCGGCCCTGAGCAAATTCTATCACTGTTTGGAGTAAGTCTATTTCTTGACTACTTCGTCTTCATCCTGTGTGATCCACGGTAGCAGGATCTGGGGCAACCACGCTGTGCTCTGTGCTCTCCTTGCTGCGTGCCCCTTGCTCAGCTCACAGGATTGGGCTCTCTCTCTGTCTTTCCTTCTTTCTCACTGGTTACGCCTCCTCCCCTGAATTGGTTCCTCTTACTTTCCGGTAAGTCCCTGTACTTAGTCACTGACCGTCTTCTCTGTATTTACACTGCTTCTCTTGGTATTCTTATCTATACCTGTGGCTCTGGATCCCATCTGTGTAGTCTCACCCGAATAGTGTGCTGGTACCCAGATTTACATCTGTCATCTGAACCTCTGATGTGTCTATTCCAGTTGCCAACTCAACTTCTCCACTTGATTCTCCTTTATATATACCAAATTCCTTGTTCAAAATCCAACTCTTGGTCTCGCGTCACCACAGGCACTCCTTAAACTCCCGTCTTCCACATCTCTGTTGCTTGCCACTCCGCACCCCCTGCTCAGACTGAAAAACTGAGAGTCACATTTGGGTGCTTCTTTCCCTCGTATCCCACGTCCAGTTTCTCAGGAAACACCAACAGACTTTACCTCCACAGTCCATCCAGAATCTGGGCACCTTTCACTCCTGCCGCTGCTCCCATAAGGGGCCGCGTAGATGCTCTATCATGGCTTTACTAAAGATACAGCCCTCTGCAGGCTGCTGTTTGACTCCTGTCTCCCTCTAGTATTCTCACAAGGCGGCATCTACTGTGAGCATTTGTAAAGCTAAAGATCACATCGTTCCTTTCCTCAAACTCCAGCGTGGAGGGACTTCTCCCCCATTTCACTCAAATAAGAGGTGCAGTCCTTCCAGTGGCTGCAGGATCAGGGATCATCTCACCACTTGCGACGTCTCTGACTCCCTCTATTCACCCACCACTCCCATGCATTTCGCTGGCTGTCCTATATGGCACCAACTGGCCTCCTTGCTACACCTCAAACCCATCGACTATTTTCTTAGACGTTTTCTAGAGTTGTACACTTTGCTGCGACAGCCTGCCATGTCTGTTCATTTGTTGACTGACTCTTTCATGCACCTCTTTCCTCACATTTCACCTTCTCAGTGGGACCTACTCTGATCAACCTATATCATATTGCAACCTGCCTACAACACCTGTCTCTCTCACCCTGCTCTGCTGTGTCTTTTGTCAACTTCTAAAATTCTATGTAAGCTGCCTGTTTTGTAGGCTTACGTTGAGTTGTGCATTCCCCCTTGCTAGAACATAAACAACTTAAGGGGCTGGGAACTTTGTTTCTGTTGTTCACTGATAATTCCCCGAGTGTCTCAAATTATGCTCGGCACACACTGTGGGCCTTCCAGAAACTGTCGTTGGAAAGGTCAGAAACTTCAAAGATCGGTTGGTAGACGTGGGGAGATTTTTCTGGATCATTGACATTTCCTTGGTGACCTCCAGTGTCCCTAGACAGCTTAGTACATTCCGACCCTGGCAAAATTGGTGAGAAAAACAAGAATTCCCTGAAGTTCTACATCTCTGACACATCGTTTGCAAAGATGGTATTTTTGGACATTTAACTTGAAATGGTGCCCATCTGCTTACTTTCCTGTGCAGTCAATTGCCAAAGACACTTAGATATGATGGACTGAGAAATGTGAATAACTAAGTTTGTGATTTTACTCTTTCCATAAAGTCAGACAAGGGTGACTTGGTCGTGTAAAGATCCCAAGATAGTCACTTGATATATTTAATAGGTGCCAGAGAAATGGCAAAAAAAGAGTACAGGACTTAAAGAAGGGTCAAGATAAAAATGTGGAGGGGAGAAACTGAGGGGAGTAACATTTGGCTGAGAATATTTGGGGCTAATAATTCATAGATGAAAGCTCCTGGCAATAGCATCTCTGGAGGCCTCACTGCCAAGTTTGAGAGGTGATAACATGCACAGTCCTGGGAGCCAGAGGGGAGTAAGCATGCAACTTGAGAGCTTCCATTACTTTCTCTCCTCATGTTCTTTTCTCAGCATTGGCTTTCCTTTTTATTTTTTATTTCGGTATTCCCAATTCAAAATTAACAGCATACATGTGCACACAGACACACGCACACAGAATAAAGAATTAAATCCATGTGGCTTGGCACTATGACTTCGTATTCTAGTCTGACATGCATATTTATTAATTCTTCAACTGAATCCTATAAACATATGTGAACTGCAATATGAAGTTGTAGCCATGATTAGATACACATTAAAGGAGACCACAGCCTCTGTGTTGGACGTGTTCGTCCGCCCCAAATGAGGAAAATGGAAGGATGATGGAAGAAAAGAAAGTAATATTGAAGAGTAGGTTCCTTGAGATGTCTTAAGGGAAGTGATTACCTCCCTCCCTCCTAGCCTCTTTGAAATTTGCTTGTTTTGTTCCTTATTGAAACTCATCAAAATAAACAAAAATAATACAAACACACATGGGACTAAATTGTGTTTGCGCATACTGTATGGCAAAAATAAAATAGAAGGAATAAAAGACTACAAGTTAGCTTCATCTTTGGCTTTTTATTCATCTCAAAGAAACTATTCCTGGTAGGATCAATTACATGGAAAAATATATCTGATATATTCAGATTAAAATGAGATACTTATGCCCTTTATATGATATTTCCTCTTTGATGATATGATAAATATCATTAATCTACATGAAAGATGGAAAGCAGGACCAAGAAACTTATATGCTGGGTCTCCTAAAAGGTAATTTGAAAGCATGTGCAAAAAAACATAAAGCATGGATAAAAATGCAAAGATATTTTCCTTTTAAAAGTACTTTTAGGAGAGAATGCTCAGCATTTTTGTTTGGTTATACACACTACCCTTTTAGAACTTCTTGTGCCTAAGGTAGTCACCTGTATGAGTTTTCTCTGATTGGCATATTCTTCTCCACTTTACCGTCTTCTGGGGCCCGTTTGCCTTTCCTGGTTGTAGAGTTCATTTCTCTTTACAGCTTTCATGCACGCTGGAGGCTGATCGCCAAACAGTGTTTCACTTTCCTTCAAGACCAACAGCTGCACTGTGTTTTGCCCCCTTGATAGAACACAGGGCTTACTTGAGGCTTGGCCAGTGAAACTTAGGCAAGACTACATGCATCACAGTGAAGCTCGTAAAAGCTGCCATTGCCTTTCTACTCTGCGTGTTGATGACACGCTTGGGACGCTTGCAAAGCAGGTGCTGCAGTGGGTGGAGACTGAGACTGGAGGTTGCTTCGTGGGGGAGAGCTCCTCCATGATCATAGCAACCTGGTCTGGTCCTCATGTGAGCTTTGCAAATGACATTTACTTTATGATTTTAACTGTGTATTGCAAGAAAGAGATGAGCTCATGGAATAAGGGACTGGCTTGCAAGCAGAAATAAAAGTGAAGAGAAAGTTTAGACATTTGGTGCCTCTAAGAGACTATGAAACACTGATTTCAAGCTGTTCCAGCTGAAACTCAAAGAGGCTTTGAAAGGCAAAGTGCCTGTTTAGGCGGCCCCAAAGCAATGCCAGCCAATTTTCCTGTCTGACAGAGCCCTCAAGGAATTGTCTTCAGATTGTGAAAAAATAAAAAAGAGGTGTGGTAGTGGAGTTGCCGGCTGCAAAGATACCAACAAGTAAGCCATATTTGAGAACTAGATCATGGGAAGAGCTTTGGCTAAGTGGTATGCAGAACTCCCTAGAAGCAGGTGCATCACAGCTCAGCCGGGCACTCTGATGTGGGATGTGAACAACCCACGTGGTCCCTCACAAATGCCTGCCCCTGTTCCTCCATGAAAGCAATGGAATCTTTTCTTAATTTCCCATTCTCATGTACAAAAATTCTGTCTCTCTGTGGCTTTTAGTGCAGTTCTTGGCTAACTACTCAGTAATGTTTTTGATATAGAAAGGAAAGGTTTGGATATTTATATACCTTTGTGTCATTTCAAGTATACACATGTGCATACATACACACACCCTTACACACAAAACAAAAAACCTAAATCCTGGCTTGAAAGACATTTTTTTTTCCCAACTGTGGGCTTCATGTGTTTGCTAAATCAGGCGACAAGCACATTCGAGAAACTACATAAAACAAATGATAATTGTGGCCGGCGCCGTGGCTCAATAGGCTAATCCTCCACCTTGCGGCGCCGGCACACCGGGTTCTAGTCCCAGTCGGGGCGCCGGATTCTGTCCCGGTTGCCCCTCTTCCAGGCCAGCTCTCTGCTATGGCCAGGGAGTGCAGTGGAGGATGGCCCAGGTGCTTGGGCCCTGCACCCCATGGGAGACCAGGAAAAGCACCTGGATCCTGGCTCCTGCCATCGGATCAGCACGGTGCGCCGGCTGCAGTGGCGGCCATTGGAGGGTGAACCAACGGCAAAGGAAGACCTTTCTCTCTCTGTCTCTCTCTCTCACTGTCCACTCTGCCTGTCAAAAATTAAAAAAAACAAACAAAAATGATAATTGTATCTTTAAAATAGTATTCTGACTATAAAGCTAGTAAGATGAACGTCTTAAGAAATATTATATGAGGGCCAGCGCCGCGGCTCACTAGGCTAATCCTCCACCTGCAGTGCCGGCACCCCAGGTTCTAGTCTCGGTTGGGGTGCCAGATTCTGTCCCAGTTGCTCCTCTTCCAGTCCATCTCTCTGCTATGGCCTGGGAGTGCAGTGGAGGATGGCCAAGGTCCTTGGGCCCTGCACCCGCATGGGAGACCAGGAGGAAGCACCTGGCTCCTGGCTTTGGATTGGCACAGTGTGCCAGCCGCAGCATGCCAGCCGTAGTGGCCACTTGTGGGGTGAACCAACGGAAGAAGGAAGACCTTTCTCTCCCTCTCTCTCTCTGTCTGTCTAACTCTGCCTGTCAAAAAAAGAAAGAAAGAAAAAAAAAAAGAAATATCTGAATGGAAGCAATTACATACAATTTAGTTGATATAGAAAAATAAAGTAAATGACAAAATCTAACTTAAAGTTGAAGTCATCTTGCTTTCATGATAGGATTTTTTTGTAGGTAGCTCTGGGCGTGCTACACAGTCACATGGGGTCTGTTGGATTCAATTAAACAATAGATGTCCATCTATTAACTCCGAGACCATCAATGGATAGAAGCTTATACTTTTTGATTCTGTTTCATCATTTCTAATGTGCTTATGGGAATATCCATGTTGCAATGCTTTGATGTGATGAATCAAATAGGTTTCTCATTTACTATGTGTCTGAGGCTCGGAAAAGTTTATAAGCCCTCCATTCATTTAGCAGTCTTAAAAATGAAATTAATTTCTAATAGAATTATGAATTTTCACTGTAATATTTCTAATCTTTTCTATTTTCTTAGAATGTATCAGATGTGTGTGTGTGTGTGTGTATTCCTTGTAAGTATGATGAATTTTAATTATTTGTGCTTGTCTCTCTACCAAGTCAAGTTTCTGAGTGCCCTGAACACAGCTGATACTCAGGAAGGGCTATTGCATAGTATTAACTGTTGACTTCTAGTGTACCATGGCTCTTTGACCTGGTTTTTGGAAATAGCACATGTCTGTCACAGGGCAGAGTGGTGTGAATTGTGCAATGCCATACCTGGACCAGGTTCATGAGGGTGTCTCTGAAGTGTCCCGAGGTCTCTGACTGAATGTCCTCTTGGAGGTTGTTGTTGTATTCTGACAAGAAAAGAGCCACATTACAGTACACCTGTCTACAGCACCACACATCAGTCTGCTCTGAGCTACTTCCTGCTACTGCCCAAGCTGTGATTGAAAGTCCTAGAAAGACAATCAACCTGCCAACATTTCTCTGTCAATAAACTGCCCACCACTAAAATCAGTCACCCAATGACTACAAAGCTATAGGCTTCTTGTCTTAAAAAATTATCTTTATGGGGGCGGTGCTTTGCTGTAGTAGGTTAAGCTTCTGCCTGCAGTGCCGGCATCCCGTATGGGTTCCGGTTCGAGTCCTGGCTGCTTCAGTTCCAATCCAGCTCCCTGCTAATGTGCCTGGCAAAGCAGCAGAAGATGGCCCAAGTACTCGGGCCCCTGCACCCATGTGGGAGACCTGGAAGAAGCTCCTGGCTCCTGGCTTCGGCCTGGCCCAGCCCTGGCAATTGAGGCCATTTAGGAAGTGAACCAGTGGATGGAAGACCTCTCTCTCTCACTCTAACTCTGTCTTTCAAATAAATAAAATAAATCTTAAAAAAAAAGATCTTTATTCCTAAAGTGAGAAACAGCATTGAGAGTCACTTCATTCTCTTATTCTCAAAATGTAGAATTACACATTCCATTTCTATAGACTGCTGCCCACTCTAGTACTTTTCCTAAGTGCTGCCATGACTCATTTTACTATTTCCAGTAAAGATTTTTATATCATTGCCCTGAGGAAAGTCTTGTCATTCAAATGCATTGGAGGTGACTGGGACATTTTCTTGACATTCAATGTTACATACTACATAATACGTGGGAGCTTAAGAAATTAAACCCTTTCGAAAACAAAACTAGCTACTCCTTCTACTTTTGAAAGGTACAAAAATCTGATTTTGGGATAGATTACAGGAATTAAGAAATGTGCATAAAGCATAGCAAATATATTTGTAGAACTCAAAAATGTCTCCCCAGATGTGGAATTCTGGACAGTTCGACAACCACTGCACTTCGCTGTGTTTTGCCTGTTGAGCAGGTCTCTGCTGTCAGAGACAACTGCCCTCTGACCTGCTGGGACTTTTCTGTCGGGATGAAAACATTCATCTCACAGCAGCTGGTAGCTCTTCAGGGAGGATGTGCTGAGCTGGATTGTCTAGGGAATGGTTTTATTTTTAGCACAGCAGTCATCCATTGCACTTGATGAGTTAGAATCTTGAGTGAGTGATATTTCACATGTAAAAGTATCTTAGAGAGTTCTGTAGAATTCATAGGCTGAAGTGTTTCATCTACTGAGAAATATGAAGTTCACGTATGTGTACAACACATGGACACAGACGCATTTCCTTACGCAAACTGTAGGCTTCCCGCATCTGGAAAATTTCTCCATTGGTTCTCGAAGCTAATATGTCAATGAGGCAGTTCTCATCGGTGCCTGCTCCCTAGAATGAGAAAGGAGAGAGATCCATAGGCATTTTTTTGGGAATAGCAGTGTGCCTTATGTACTGTACAGGGGGACACAGCATTCCTGGTGGTGTGAGGGGTGGCAGGAGGCAAGGACATGTGTTTGGGATAAAGAAAGACCCAGCTTCAGTTCCGGCTCTGACACTGGGTAGCCGCTTCACCCTGAGAAGATGCTATTATCCAAAGGAAACCCTGTTTATTCATTTATAATAAACAACATGGGCATGCCTCTAGCATTTCCATTTGCTACTGGAACATCCATTCCATAGCAAGCTGAAGTACAAACATAGATTTTCTGGAGCCAGTGTCGCCATGCAGCAGGTTAAACCGCTGCCTGTGACACCAGCATCCACTATGGGCACCATTCAAGTCCTGGCTATTCCAATCCAGTAACTACTCATGCATCTGGGAAGGCAGCAGAATATGGCTTAAGGGCTTGGGCCCCAGAGACCCAGATGGAGTTCCAGGCTCCTGACTTTGGCCTGGCCCAACCCTGGCTGTTGGAGCCATTTGAAAAATGAACCAGCAGATGGAATATCTCTCTTTGTCTCTCTCACTCTCTCCTCTCTTTCTTTCTCTGTAATCTGCCCTTCAAATAAATAAAGCTTCAAGTTAAAAAAAAAAAGCACAGATCTTTTAATTTCCCAAAGGAAATTAGGGCTCTTCATCTCCCTAAATGTGGAATTTTGTACAATTTGCCTAAACATTTGGACTGAGCACTTCCTGTGCTCCCTATTTAGACAGGTGCACTTGTATTTGTCTATGATAGTGATTTTCAGGGGCAGTGTGACTTTTTCAGGGAAGCCACAGAAAGCCTTATTCTGTGAAATTTTGATAAAAATATCCATTTATACAGCAACATATGACTTTATTCTTACATTTTTAATCACAGAACTTTGCAAGAAGCTAGGAACTGTATGCAACATTTAAGAAAAGTTGAGTAGTCTAAATAAATAGTGAATTTTATACACTGTCTATTCTGATCTGTAGATATGATGACCCAAATCCACATTTCTGTCATTGTTTTTCTTTCTTCTTCCTGTCACACGTGGTTCACAGATTGTGGTAATCTGGCCACTGGCAAGCATCCTCCTGGAACAGGTACTTAATGTCAGTCTCTGGAAAGAAGTTAAATTCACTCTTGTCTCTGTCTCTGGGCAACAAAATCTGTAACAAGCTTGTAGTTGATTTGGTTTACTGAAATGACTTTTTGGAAGAAAGAATTATTATTCCAATCCTTGCAAAGTAAACTTCTGATATATTTGAGCAATTGTTTTTATAAAGGACCAACCTAAGGTCACAAAAATAAAGCTAGATCACTTCTGTATTTTGACTCTATCGCTTCTTGGCCTTTTGGCTAAGATCAAGTGTATTTTGACTCTAGCTCTCCATCCCATTCTGGCTTAATGAACCAGGTCTTTAGAGATAATTTTAAAAGGTTCACATGAGTTTTAATGCATCCCCTTCAATATACAAATACACATTGAGGAGAGGCAAACCTGAATGGCCCTGGGCTCATCTCCGGCGTGCCTTTTGGTAGCTCATCTTGCAGCTGACTTGTTAGTCTGGGTTTGTCTAACCACAGAGCAGGCTGACCCCAGCCATGGGCTCTGGAGGCCCCATCTTCCTGCCCAGTTCCTTCCCTTGGCTGCAGCATTTCCACGGTCACATCACTGCTCATGTAGTCCCTCCTCCCTCCCTGCAGGGTCATACAGGTATGTCGGAGCACCCTGGAGCAGTCCACCCGTCTACAGAAATGCCGGAAATGCCAGCCTGCACCTGCCACAGGTATGTTTCTGGGCTAGATTGCTACCTTCATGGCGTGCCAGAGTTCGTGTGCATCGTAGGATGGTGGCGGGTACATGAGGCCAACCATGACGTCCTTGAAGTGATCAGAAAGCTGCTCCTTCAGCATGCCAATCAGGTCCTGTGGAGGCAAAAATAAAGGTTTTCACCATCAGTCAGCAAAGCAATGGGAGGAATGGGCTCACTGTAGGAAGGTTTCTAGTAGGACTTCCTTTTCCAGGCCATTCCACGTCACAACCGGGCTAGTTTTGATTACATGTACAAGCATATCTGTGGGTCACACACAGTGATGGACCTGAAGGTTTAAAGATGACTGATTTTTTTTAAAGATTTATTTGAAAGGGAAGGAGGGAGGGGTGAGAGAGAGAGATTATGATGGCAGAAGGCAGGGAGACTGCCTGGTGAGGGCTAGCTGAGGTCATGAGAGCTTGGATTAAGGTAGGTGAAGCAGAAAGGATGGGAGAAAAACAGTACATGTATAAGGAAGGCACATTGTGGTGTATTGACTGAGCCTGAAGCTAAAATCCTCTATCTGACAAAAGTCCCTAACCTTCCCCCTTTTCTTATATGTGATTTGATAGAAAAGCAAATCACATCAGACAAATAACTTTAGAGCTAAAGTATGCAGGTTGTTTACTGATTGGCCGATTCAGTAACTCATTGGTGCACTGTGCAGATACTTTGTGTGCCAGGCTAGTCCAGGAACTGGGAGTCCAGTGTTGACTTTTGTTAAATGTGCTCCCTACTGTTATTAAGCTTATATCACAAAAAGGCAGTGAGCTTAGATTCAGTGAGGACTAATGACTTTATAACAGGTTAATTTTAATGGTCTCTGGTGCTTTTATCCATCTATATTAAGTGGAAATCATTGCAACCTATTTCATTAACAATTGACTATAAGAATTAAGGAAATGAAAGCTTCATTGTTCTTATAAAATATTTTCTGTTTTGATCTATGTTTCCAGATAGAAGGTATTGGGATTTGTGGAATGGAGTTTTGTACAACTTTCTATGGTTCAGTGACCCTTGAGAAAGCCATCAAGACAGGACAAAAGAGATCCCTGTTAGAGAAGGTGGCACATCTTTTATGTTCACCTGACCCTGAAGGTCATGAATTTGTCCTCTGCAGGGGCCTACAAACCAAGAGTTAAACTAACCAAGGTGGCGGGAGCGGCACAGGCAGATGGTTACTCGCATGATGCCTTTAATGATAGATACCTGGGAAGTACCAGCTGCCTACCTGGGCCAGCACATTCAACAAATGCTAAGTGCTCTAACCAACAGTAACTACAGTGATCCTGGATAATCCCCTGAGGCTGGCTCCATCGTTCCTGTTCTAATAAGGGAACTGGAGGTGAGCAAAGTTCAATTGCCCAAGCTTGTATCTCTGAAGTGGCAGTGCCAACACTTGGCTCTGACTGTTTCCCAGTGAAGAACTCCGGGCTCTGTTTACCTGCTCTGACCACTAGTAGTATAAATTAAAGGCAGTGGAGTCCGTGAGCCTGAGGCTGTAAACCTTCTCCAGGAGCAGTCAGAGGGCCTTGGCCATGCCCCTTCACAGAGGCAGTGCACAGCCAGGCGTTTCTCCCACTCTGTTCTTCTCCATTGTGCACAGGCTGGTTCTTAGACTTCTAGAGATGGATTGAACACTTGGTTTGGAGACTTCTCAAATCTCTTCCTAAAGCACATCGCTTAAATCGCAGTATCTTTCATTTGCAAATCCAGTGTTTAACTCAATGTCTTTTATAAAATATTTGAGAGAGATAAACAAGGTGGGGGTGGGGAGAGTGAGAGAGAAAGAAATAGAGATTCTATCCATTGGATCCCATCCAACTGCCTACAATGACCAGGGTTGGACTGTGACTGAAGCTGGGAGCTAGAAACTCAGTCTGAGTCCCTACATGGGAACCCAGCTACTTGAGCCGTTCCTGGGAGAACATTAGCCGGAAGCTAGAATCACGAGCAGAGCTCTTATTGGACCTAAGCATTCTGATATGGGGTGTGGATATGCCAACCTGTGTCTTAACCAGGAGGTCAACAAAATGCCTGCCCCTAAATATCTTTTGACTCTACCTTCTACTAAGAAAAGTTCTCGAGCCGGCGCCGTGGCTCAATAGGCTAATCCTCCACCTTGCGGCGCCGGCACACCGGGTTCTAGTCCCGGTTGGGGCGCCGGATTCTGTCCCGGTTGCCCCTCTTCCAGGCCAGCTCTCTGCTATGGCCAGGGAGTGCAGTGGAGGATGGCCCAGGTGCTTGGGCCCTGCACCCCATGGGAGACCAGGAAAAGCACCTGGCTCCTGGCTCCTGCCAGGATCAGCGCGGTGCGCCGGCTGCAGCGGCGGCCATTGGAGGGTGAACCAACGGCAAAGGAAGACCTTTCTCTCTGCGTCTCTCTCTCTCACTATCCACTCTGCCTGTCAAAAAAAAAAAAAAAAAAAAGTTCTCATTTTTAATTTTTAGTCATTTTTTTCTGTGTTCTGCTAATTCACCAGATAATTATAATGATTTTTGTTATGTGCATTATTGAGAGATTTATAAATATTCCTGATTGATTTTTTAAAATATCTTCTTTATTTATTTGAAAGGCAGAGTTACAGAGAGGCAGAGGCAGAGGCAGAGGGAGGGAAGGAGGGAGGGAGGGAGAGAGACAGAGAGAGGTGGGGAGGGAGGGAGGAAGGGAGAGAAAGAGAGAGAGAGAGGTCCTCTATCCATTGGTTTATGCCCCAGTTGGCCGCAACAACTGGAGCTATGCTGATCCAAAGCCAGGAGCCAGGAACTTCTTTCAGGTTTCCCATGCAGGTGCAGGGGCCCAAGGATTTGGGCCATTTTCTATTGCTTTTCCAGGTCGTAGCAGAGAGCTGGATTGGAAGTTGAGCATCTGGGACTCGAACCAGCACCCATATGGGACGCCGGCACTGCAGGTGGCAGCTTTACCTGCTACGCCACAGTACTAGCCTCCTGATTAATTTTAAAATACAATACTACCTCCTATACAAGAGACTTTTCCTTACACCTTTTACTTGATTTAATCCTTAAAATACCCAGGCAGGATCAAACTGGTTTATAGATGAGGGAGTTAACAATTTTTGTGGTTGAAATTTGCCTGTGTTCACACTGTAAGCAGGTTGCAGGGATGGGGTGAGATGCAGATTCAGGTCAGTGTGACTCCAAGACCGTGGAATTGATCTTGACTTCTACTACATCTGGACATAACCTTTGGTTGGTAGATTCGATGAAGCCCCTGCTGGCCTCAGGCTAATTGACTTTTTTTTCAGTTGTATTTGTTTATTTGAAAGGCAAAGTTGCTGAGAGAGAGAGAGAGAAAGACAAAGAGAGGGTGAGATCTTCCATCTGCTGGGTCACTACCCAGATGGCCACAATGGTGGGGGTTGAGCCGGGCTGAAGCCAGGAGCCTGGAACCCCACTTCCCATGAAGCTGCATCTCCCAACGCTGCTGGGCCAGGAATCAAGCGTGCATGTGGGATTTTGAGGGAACAAGTCACCCCCAGACCCTGGCCACATGGATCCCTAGGGCGTGGCCCCTAACTGTCCGGACTGCAGTCTCTGGTTTCTCAGTCTTGCTAATTCGCTCTTCCATGATCGCCTACAGCTGCTCCCTGAATGTGGCTGCCGCACAGTTGGAGACGCACATGATTGAGGCATTTCCTTCGATATGGCCTGCAGTATATCTCTGTGAAGTGCAGAAAGATAATTTATATCTCCAAGTTATGGAGAATTAAAACAAAATAATGACAGCCTATAAATCCCCCTGTTCTAAGATTTTTCTGAAAGGAAAACATCAAACATTTCTGAAAAATATTTACTCATTAAACAAAGATTCATAAAAACATTGAGAAAATAGCTTAAAATAGAAAGCCAACTTGAATTCCTGAAGAAACCACGCATAATAGTCACAGAATTCTGTTTAGATCCATTTAACAGCTACAAAGTCATACCAGGACAGTAAATTGATTCATGAACATGTTTTAGGACTGACAACATGCCTGTGCAAATGGTTTAATAACATGAATTAGGAATATTTGGTTCACATGATTTTCTATGAAATAAATTCAAGAAGAAATTCTGGATATAGCTCATGTCACAATTTTGTAAAAAGAAACAAATGGAGTTGTTTGAATATTTATCTATTTCATCTCTCATATTCTCAAATTGGTGTTCATGCAAAGACAGTTTAGAGTTGTTTCAAGGTTTAACTTGCAAGGGAACTGGTGGCTATTGAAGTTTTATTTGTTGATATATTCTGCTAGATGATTTGCATGATTGTCCATTTAAGTCCTATAAGAAGTTCATTATAGGGGCCAGTGCTGTGGTGCAATGGGTTAACACCCTGGCCTGAAGCCTTGGCATCCCATATGGGTGCCAGTTCGAGACCCAGCTGCTCCACTTCCAATCCAGCTCTCTGCTATGGCCTGGGAAAGCAGCAGAAGATGGCCCAAGTCCTTGGGTCCCTACACCTGGGTGGGAGACCTGAAGGAGGCTCCTGATTTCTGGCTTCAGATCAGCACAGCTCCGGCTGTTGGGGCCAGTTTGGGAGTGGGCCATGTGAACCACTGGACGGAAGACCGGAAGACCTCTCTCTCTCTCTCTCTCTCTCTCTCTCTCTCTGCTTCTCCTCTCTCTGTGTAGCTCTGACTTTCAAATAAATAAATAAACAAATCTTTAAAAAAGAGTTCATTATGGAGATCTTAAGATCTCAAACATGAAGGTGAGAAATTGGAATTCCTGGTTAAGTCCATTGCCAAAGGCTCCACAGAAAATAAAGAGTGATGTCAGGGTTAGGACCAAGACCGATGAATCTGAAGCCTGTTGTCTTGCCAGTGCGCCACAATTCTTGCAGCTATACTTTTATGTATGCCTTTTATCTTTTTATCAGCCATCAACTTCTTATTCTGAAAACATGCTTGCATTCCCTCATGGTCTATGTAACTTGTCAACAAAGAGAATACAGATAGCATTAGAATTCTTTGTCATCTAGTAGGCATCCCTATGTCTTCTAGTTGTATATATTTTATTAAGTTAAACATGTTTCAATTTATTGAGGTATAATTTATGTACCACAAAAACAGCTAATATGATAACAATGAAAAATCAAATGCTTTC